AGAACCAGCTCATTTAACCGCACCTAAACCTTAACGTTTCACTATTTATAACCTTCCCCTCTCCCTCATCCTAACCTTAACCCTCTTGCTACCTAAGACGTTACTCTCACTGTGATCAAGCGTTTGTTTTCCATGCATTCTGACTGTGAATTTTCGTATTTGCCGCCCAAGGGGAACGTTAGAACATACCATCTGGCGAGGTTACAAATACCCTCTATTTTTAACCTCCACCGTGGTAGTTGGAACCTCCCACTCGCGTTGGCTGAGTCCAAACCCGACCAGTGCCAAGGCGGCTCCCTCCGTTCACTTCATAGAGCTGGCTTTTAGAGCAACCGACACATCACTAACGTGTTCGCTAGCAAGATGGTTAAGGTTAGGATAGGGGTGAGGGGAAGGTTAAATAACAAGAAGATAAGTTTAGGGTGAGGTACAATGAGCTTGTTTGGTGCCCTGGCTGTGGACATCCCGTCACATCGGCGTAACGCTGCATTGGGATCTGCAGTCAGAAAAGGGAAAAACCCCTTTTCACACATAAGTAACGAAAAAGGGCACTTTTGGCGTCAGGTGTCTGAGGTGGAGGGTGGCTGACCAAGTGTTTGTTTTTGACGTGCTGGGAGTGAGAATGTGTTGCACAGTATGAAAATGCGATAGACCATAATTGTTGTAGAAGCTGATCTGTTCACAGAATTAATTTTAACACATATTGCAAGATTTTCCATACATATTACAGTTTTTAAAAAAAGCTATTCAAATATTTAAATTAATGTCCAGAAAATTTTTAGTTTCGTTACCAATTATTGAAATGTTGCCTGCCTTTCTGCATCAAATATAAAGGGATAATTTGGTTTTTATAATGATTTTCTATAGGTTAGTTATCTCCATTGAGGACCATGAGAACTTAACATGAATAATGGTGAGAATAGCTATTAAGTTATTAACACCTTCAATGACAGAAGTTCCTCTGGCAATGAGCAACACGCTGCCAATTTTATTTAAAAAAATAAGTGATAATTTATACTTGAGAAAGTATTGACCTAAATCAATTTACCAATAAGATAAAGCTTACTTAGACAAACAAAGTCAGCTATGGGACGTGTTCTGCAATTTCCGTGTAAAATAAAATCTAAAAAAATAAAAGCTAAATAAAAGGATTACAAAATAAAACAGGTGTGTAGCATGCTCTCTTTAAAGTTTGTTGGACAAACATGTCAGCAGGACAAAAAGAAATAAAACTATTCAGCAGTTTAAAAAGGGACCGACATGACCGACACGTGCACAAACAGAATAGTATAAAACTATGAACACACATTCGTGCACACACACATGGCTAAGGCTATAAAGACATTTGCGTGGCTCATTTAGCACAGAGAAGCACCACATGCGTTCATGAAACTCACTCATTAAAAACGCACAATGACTACAGCCTAAAATGTGTGTGTGTTTGTGTGTCCTGGAGTGTGTTTGATCCTTTCACATCAATAACAAAATTTCCAGCCTTTGTCTTTGATCACTATAACCACAGCTGATGACACTGTGTGGTGAGATGTGTGTGTGTGTGTGTGTGTGTGTGTGTGTTTGTGCGTGTCAAAAAGTAAAAGCATCTTTTAATAATTGTCTAAAGGAAAACTGAACAGTTTATTGCATTGAACTCCTTTAGGCATCATGATGACTCTGGTCATGACTAATATAGCTCAGTAACATTAACTACAAAGTAATTAATGAGCTTCTCAGTCTTAAAGGCACACTTAGCAGTTTTGCTTGCTTTTATCACCCCCTTGTGTCTGTTACTCTTTGTGGTCAAATCAAAAACGAAACCTATCTCCTTGCTGTGCGTTTGTCTTTTTAAAACCTTAATCTAACAGCTGAAATGTCTCCTCAGCCTTCATTAGTGTCTACTGGAGTGACTCATCACTAATTTAAACAAATCAGCTTTGCTCATGATCTAAAACGTGCAGGAAACGTGCTGGAAGCAGACTGCTGCACCAACAAGTCCAAGTCAAACAGGTGGCAGCCCACCACTCTGAAGTTGCAAATGTGGTATTCTGGTGGGGGTCTGAGTGACATTTCATTAAAAATGAGAATATGGTGCAAAAGGTCATTTATTTAAATAATTCATCTTAGACAGAGATCATTTAAAGGCTCAGGAACTGTTTGCAGGTGTTTTGGATTCATCAGTTGATTAGTGTGACACTTCAAGTCTAAAATATTGAACATTTTCACATTATTTTAATTATCTGAGATTTTTTGCTGTAAGCCATAATTATCTAACCTGGCAAGCCAGACTAAATAAATGTATTATTTAGTCTGACCATGTTCCATTGACGGCTCTCGGTTGTGGGGTGGGTTCTACCGTTGTCTTTCAAATGATCTCCACATTCCACTGGACAATGAATGTGACATACTCTTGTTTCACTCTGTTGCATCATCCCAACCACCAGGCATATAGAGTGCCCTGATTGGCCCACAAAGCGGATAAAGCTCTGTGATTTGTTCACTAAGCAGATAGAGCACTATGATTGGACAACCATTATGGACCAATCACAGCTCTTTATGTGTTTGAAACCCCTCTAGAGAGCTGTGATTGGCTAGCCAGAATCCTGGTAGGAGCTGCGGAGGTTCCAATGGAGCATGCCTAGACCAAACTTTGCAAAGCAAGAATTTGGTCTAGTTCACTAGGCTAATAATCATCACAATTATAACAAATAAAGTCTTGAAATGTCTTATGTCTGTAATGAGTTTCTCATCTATTAGTTTCACCTTTAAGTAGAATTAGTGAAAGAAACTTTTTCCACCACATTCTTATTTTCCGAGTTTCACCTGTATAAATCTGTACCCTTCATAATTTTTATCTTGGGAGGCGCTATATAAAAAAATTTGTTTCCTAAACACACATGATGAATAGACGGATAGAGAAAAGTGGTAGAAATTCAATGTTTTTGTGGCGCTTTGTCAGCAACACCTTAGAAAACCACATGAATTTGTGATAAAACCTGTAGTTTGTTTAATGTAGCCATATACAACATATTGCCTTATATATTGGCTGTAACTTAAGGGAGAGGGTGTTATGGCCACTTGCATTTGGACAAAGTCTCTAGTTTTTCTTTCTTGTGTGCATGTAAAGCCCTGCCCTCATCCATGCCCTTCAGCCTTCAGAGTAATTCAGCAGATTCTGTTCCTGGTTCCTCCACCACCAAGCAGCAGTAGATCAGGGGGTAGAGCGGGTTGTCCAGTAATTGGAAGGTTGTAGGCTTGATCTCGGCTCCCACCAGAGAATGTTGTTGCTGTTGTTTCCTTGTACAAGACCGACTTCACTGGTGTTCGGCAGTCTTGCTTCCGTCAGTGTGTCCCAGAGCTGCCATGTCTACGTTGTAGCTCATCATCACCAGTGTGTTGATGTGTGGATAACTGATTGTGTTGTGAAGTGCCTTGGGTGGTTGCAGAACTCCAAGAAGGCAGTATGCAAATACAGGGCATTTACCAAGCACCTTGGGCCAACTTTACATCCTCCAGTGACCAACCTGATGGGAGCTGCTGATAGGCTGACTGGCATTTTTAAGACTTCCAGTTCTGTTTGGGAGCAGCTGGTTACTTTGCCGTTTCCTCCACTAGGATAGCCTTGCTTGAGCTTTGAAAGCTTTATTGAACTTTGTGGTGTTTTACTTCTATAAAGTTGTTGCTTATAAACTTAAGCTAGAGCTAGGGATTTTGTTTTGTTTGTCCATTCTTACCCTGGTTTTATAGAGGGTTTGTACTTCCCTTTTATTTTGTTTAACTTTAGTTGACCGCCCTCTTTGGTTTGTAGATTTTGGTAAAACCCAAGCTTTGAATGCTTCTAGTACGTTCTTTATTTCACCCTGTATGCCAGTTAGGATTTTTGCTTAGTCATTTTTTTGTTTAATATCTATTGGCAGGGGTGGACTGGCCTATGTGGCATTCTGGCACTGTCCTGGTGGGCCACTTAGCCAAGTGGGCTGCTTGCCCAGCTTGGGCCGACACTACTCCACAGTTGGTGATCTGCAGAACATTAGCTACATGGTAACCTGAAGCTAACAGAGTTTTTCCAGGCGTTTTTAGCACAAAAATGCAGTAGAGCGATGACGTAGGAGTTGTTTTACCACGTCAACATGTAGCTAATCTCCCGCTGATCTCCGCCGGTGGAGAATGAGCTGATCTGGAAGGTCAGGGCTCCCGGTCGCAGCGGTCTGGCCTAGAGACGAGTCCACGGGCGGCAACACCCCCCAACCCAACGCTCTCCCAATGGGAAAGGCTGACTGAGGGCCGACAATTCGTAAAAATGCCTAGGCCGAATTTTGGTCCCAGTCCACCCCTGTCTATTGGTACCACTCTGTATTGTTTTAAATAAATGTGTGTACTCCCATCTTAACATCAATGTCACACATTTACGTTACCTCCTTACATCCCGACAGCCAGGATGTAACAAAACCTTTAGTTTTGACAATTTAAGATAAAAATTTGATTCTGAACATTTCATCATGAGAATTACTGTTGAGTTACTGGAGCAAATAAATAAAAGTGCCTGGACTTAGTTCTGGGAAGTACATTCTCAGAGCTGATTGGCTCTCACACCTGTCTGTTCCTTTGTGCTGCGTCTCCACTGGGGGGGTTCAAGCACAATGTAGAAAGAAGATTGCTTATTGTACTCCTCCCGGTTTGAGATCCTAACGGTTATGGTCTTCCTGTTTGGAACAACACACACACGCACACACACAAAAACAGAGGGAGGTGGTGAATGCATGCATGAAAAACAAATAGCATGGCAAGGTTTAATAAACAAAACACATGGAGTGGTGGGTGGGGTGAGATGAGGTGAGCCACAGCATGCTGCATGTTTCCAGTCACTTCACATCAGGAGGTGAGCAAAAGGAAGATTATCTGATGTTAAATCTCCTCCTGTGGGCATTTTTGGGTTGAGAACATGCAGCTGCGGCAGCACGGCGGATGCTTCAGGGCTGAACGGACAAAAGGGTCACGAGGCTCACCCTCTTCCTGACCTTTGGTGTCATTGTTCTCCACCAGGCGAGGCTCCCCAATCTCAATGTAGAAGGTTTTGTTCTTCTCATACTCCTCGTCATCTATTATTTTCACCTTGATGGTTTTACTGAGGAAGGAGGAGGAAGGAAGGGAAAAAGGGAGAAGAAGAAACGACAGAACAGTGAGGACAAGACGAGCTGGAAAGGAAAAGAAATTTGAAGAAAAAAAAAATTCCCCACAAGCACATTTCAGGAGCCCGGGTCTGTTTTGCATTTTAGAGTTTTCATATTCCCACCTCTGATGGCTGATCCAGCTTTGATGTTATCAGAGCAGCTCACGTCAGGATGACAAGATTGATCTGATAAACTCGTTACTCTTCCAGCCTGCAGCCTAATCAAGACTAAACTCAATCTCATAAACTCAATTTTTTAGAGAGACCAAATTTAGCTCAATGGCAGTGGCTTTTGAGTTAATCACATCCTTCAGGCATTCTGTAAGTAAGCAGTCAAAAACCACGATGGTGGACTATGTCTTATGATCAAACGTTTGGGGTCATACAAAGATGTCCTGATCAATCAGACACAACAATGAAAGTGACTTGTGTGGCTGACAGTTTCATTCTGGCTCACATTTATCCTTAAATACCGTCACATGTTCTGTCTGGCTGCCTAAGCTCACCCAGCAGTCCACCAAAAATATCACCTCAATTTGCGTTCTGCTTCAGCCTCCAAGCTATATCAGACCCTCATTTTTGGTGTGCCAAAAACGTCCCAGATTGTCTTCTATCTGGGTTGCTGTTGCAGACCAGGTGCACAACACTCCCTTAATTGCATCAGTCTACCTTCCAAATTATTGTAACAAACTGCTCAGATTTGGCTGGAAAAACTTAAGATGGAGTCTGGAAAGTTGTCTGGGGCTTTGCATTTTCCAACACCTGATCTGATTGAGCATCTGTGGGATGTGTTAGAGTCTGTCTGATTCTATGAGACTTGAACTGGCTACTCAGAGGACTCAAAGGATGTCAGTATTTTGGTGCCAGGAACTTGAGGATATCCCCAGAGATCCTTTTCTACTTCCGTTCAACTCCTCAGAACCGCCTCGTCAGCGGATCTCGGAAACGACAATGCTGTTGAACCTGATAATGTTGTGACTGATTGATGCACTTCCTTTTGTAGAGGCAGCTTTTTTCCTGTGTTTATGGGAATTTTGGTATTTTGGGAACTTACATATCAATCAAATATGAGAAGTATGGTATATTTCTGTCTAGTCTATTGGAAACTGAAGATGCTTGCAAAGGGAAAGTGTCCTCTCTAAAAGAAGAGGCGCAGAGGCAAGTCGGAGACTGTGGAAAATAGGAGAGACAGTCCAATATCAGATGCAATGAAAGAAGAGAGTGAGCAAGATCAAAATGAGAAAAGGTTTAGTGAGAGATGTCTGCTGCTGCCATCAACACCTTTAATAGAAACCCGCAACAAGACGTACTAAACATTAACTTGTGTTTAAGAGAAAAAGTGGCTGAAAATCCATTCACAAACGGATGTTACAGATGCTGCCATATCTGAACCAACACAAGCAACATAATCCCTCTAAATCTCTGTTTCTGCATTCTGCTGGGACACAACAAAAATCAATGTATGCACTTAGTGGCATCTCCCACTCAAAGACACGGAGGGCGATATTTATACCTGCAGCACACAAAAATGACCTTGTCCTACCGTTGTTCTTCAGCGTTCCAACATCTGATAAATATTTTCGAAACAAAAAGCCTAAAAGCGTTTCATTCATGTGGAAAAATGAGATTTTAACCAATAAACCAAAGAGTTTAAAAGAACGTATAAAAGAAACAAACTCTTTAGAGTATAGACGGACTGTGACTGAGAATATTTATCACCCCGGTCGGTCTTGGTCATATTTGGCAGAATGCTCCATATTCCAGGTCACGGGGTTGTGGAGCGGGATGCGGTTCTGTGTGTGGATGAATGCCTGTAGACACGTGTGTGTTTATCTTGTGTTTGCAGTCTGGAACGAAACCCTTATTCTGATCCAGATCCACTACAGGCAATAACAGAGACACGAGAGAATACTCTTAATCTGGCCTGAAGGGCGGGAAACCAGAACACACAACCCTTATATAAGCACCATCTCTGATCGCAGCCTGTGCTGAATAGTCTTTCAATGGGATTGTTTCAGCACCATTGTCATCTGAATCACAGCAGTAAGTGATAGAGTCATGTATAGCTCACCAAGGTATGGAAGCTACTATGCATACAAACATCCGTCTATGGCGGGGAAAACTGGTTTAAAACGATATTATTTATGGTTTTGGTTGAGTAATTTGATATAAAGGGTGTTTAAGTGTTGCTGAAGTAATAATGATCGTCAAAAATCATTTACAGGAATGTTTTGAGTAGTCGTTTCAGTTTGTGGTTTTTTCTATCTGTTTTTATGTCATTTCTTTAGTTTATCTGTCAAAAAACATAGCTTGTTTAGGAAGTACACAATTACTAATAAACATGTTAATATTAAGAATAAATATAAAATTAGCCTTGTCGCTCATGTTTCAATCAGTTCACTCAGTGTGCGGGTGCTTTCAGCGACAGGGATGGCATGGCACATGGCGGCCAGCGGCAGAGTCACTTCTTACCACAAAACACCTGAAGTGCTGCAGCGTCTGTAAAGTTAGGAAGAGAAGCAGATCATACTGTGACTCAAGGAGATTGCAAAACCTGACGTTGGCAACCACAGATGCTCATTCAACGTGATACATATACTGTTATCTTGGGAATTTTATGGTTTGTAGACCATTTTTTTCTAAAAATTTTTTATTTGTGTTGGCTGGCTTATCCGAATCGTTGCAGCAAACTAATCAGGATTGGTTTTATTTAAGGTGGTGCACCAGATCTGTAGTGTTGAATGCATCGCTACCTTTTTCACCAAGTTAAATGCCCAGTTTGCAGACAATACACTATTGTATGCAAGTCTATTACACTTTTTTTTGCTGTTAGTTTAAAAATACATACAAATTACAGACATTTTCTCTCTCGAGGTCACAAGTATGCTCTGTGTTAACTAACAGCTACATGTTATGGTGTGGGGCTTCCCGGCGGTGTTGTCTGTGGAACAAAGAATACTGATGTAGAGGAACCTGTTGAATTTAAAACTGAGCCATTATTAATCTGTTGGAAAATCTCCTACTCAGGATGATTTTTAAAATGAATCTCTGTTGTTTTAAATGGGTAAATCCGATTTTTCCCACCCAATTCTGATTTCCTGAAAATTACATGATTGGACCCAATTACCGATCACATGATCTGTAATGATCTAATTTTCCTTTTGAACTGATAGTTATTCTGATTTCAATACATGCGTTGCTAAAATACTATTAATCAAAACGGACTGAGTGCTTTATTAGAAACACCTAATCACTACTGGGTTGGTCCCCTCTCCCTTCTAAACAGCATTATCCTGCTGGAAGTAGCCATCACAACATGGGTCCACTGTGGTCATAAAAGGATGGACATGGTTTTCCACAACCCTGAAATTCAGACTTATGGAACTTTTATATTTCATTACGCTATTCCTATTAACAGATTAATTAACTGAATGTCCTGAAAGCATTCGCACACGCGCGCGCACACACACACACACACACACACACACACACACACACACACACACACACACACACACACACACACACACACACACACACACACACACACACACACACACACACACACTTGTCCTCCAACACATACACACACACTCCCTCTCACACATGATCCACTCCCATTCCTCTCATCTCCTTGCTTAAATAAACTCTGACCAGCTGTTCAGGGCATTTGCCCTGTGCACTTGCCACAAATCATGGTTTGGTTGTATGTCTGCCTTATTGCTTCTTGTCCCTCTTCGACTCCAGGAAATGGGTTTACTGGTAAACATATTGATAAAATTCATGATACAGGCTCAGACCAGGACGCATGTTTCCAGCCTCTCATTGTCCAGATTTCCCTCTTCTTTGCTGACAAGAGTGACACCCGGTGCTGTTTTCTGCTCCTGAAGTACATCTACTTCAAGGTTTGCTGCGTCGAGAGTTTTGGGTGTAACAAGTGGTTATTTGTTCTACTGTTGCTTTCTATGTTTAAAACCAGTCAATTCTCCAAGCCTAGCAATGCACTATCGATTACACGACCCATGGGATATTTTCTCTTCCAAGCATGAAAATCTCCCATTCTGATGCTCAGTTTGAACTTCAGGAAACCACCTTCACGTCTGTTTGTCTAAATGCTTCAACATGCTGTCGTGTGATTGGCTGATTTAGTAAACAAGCAAATGAACAGGTGCACCTAAAATGTGAGTGTATAAAATAAGCTTACTCACTATAAAGAAAGGCTGTTTAAATATGCAATAGCAGCAGACTGAGAACAGACTTCCCCGACTGCTGCAGGATTCCATGATCACCAGGCTGAGACACACCAGCAGTGGGCGTTTATCCTTCCCCTACCTCAAGGTGAAGCCATTGAGCACTGAGCCTGACCTCTGGTTGAGCTGGAGAGCCTCTGATATTTGCATTTATTTAGAAACCTATTACAGCTTATATAAAACATTGTTAAAAAAATTATTCAAAAAGAGCTGACAAAACATCTACAGTTTAAAACCGTTTTGGTTTTATTTCAGCAATTATCGAGAAGGCAGATTTGGAAGGGATTGAGATCATGGAGCTCTGACAATAATACCAGTCACAGTGTAACACAAAACGACAGAGGTCCCATGTGAGTTTGGCTTTGGGTTGTTTGTAAAAACCAAACAATGTCCATCAAATCCGCCAGGAAACAAACGTTTTGGTGTGAGTAAAGCGATCCGTCAGTGTGAAAAAAAATGTATTGAGGACTTTTCAAATCAAAAGAACCAATAAAAAAAAATAACGATAAGATTTGACCCCTGCATGTTTTGAAAATGCCACACACACACACACACACACACACACACACACACACACACACACACACACACACACACACACACACACTGAAGAAATCCAACCACAACAGACTGTATTTGTCGTTTTCATCTGTACCCTGATCCCTTCACCGGCTCACACATGATAAACGAACACAGACACACAAC